GACTGTGAGGAACGTGTAAGAGCGCGGCGTAATCACAGCGGCCAACGACGCTGCCTGCATCCGCTCCGCTCTGGAAGGAATCCGGAGTGATGTCTAGCGACAACCACCGCTATGAGGTTAATGTTTTGTGCAGCCTTGGAGGTGATTGGTTGGACCGCGCAAGGTAGGCGTAGCCGAGAGTGGGCGTGTTGGTAGGTTGCGCCAGACATTGAGTGAGAGGTAGGCAGGGTGCCGGCAGTCAGCATGACTCCAGACTTGGCGGGATGAGTCAGCGATGACAGGTTCCTACAGTGGCCCACTACATTCGCTAAAACTTATTTGAAGAAACTAGGGATTCCTAGGCTAACCTTGAGCTACGAAAGGTACTCTTAGTGTGAAAAAAATACCAGTAACTCGTTTCGTCCGTATGCACACACTGTAAAGAGAACTGTAAAGATGATGCGGTGCTTTTACAACCCAAATACTGACAAAGAAAGCAGTAGGTAGCACAAGATTGGTATAACTTAGACCCAAAAGCCAGGTTTATTATTTTAAAGAAAATTGTATTAACATACGAAAATGCATGCTTTTTGCGCACCAAAAACGTTGTACCCACATGGAAAGACTAGGCCGTGAAGTTGTATAAATTTAGACAAGACAAGAGAGGAAGCAGGCAAATAGTATTGTCAGCAAAGACCAAGGCGACTGGAATGGCCATTTCTGGCTCATTAGCCGTCATCAGCCGGTCATGCCCAGACTCAAGTCGTGTCCTACCCGGGCCTCGAATTCGCGACCTTTTTGATCAGAGGCAAAGACCCCAACCGTTGACCCACGAACTCGTCGTCTCGCCGGTTTAGGTCAGGGGATATTGACACTCATTGTCTTTGCCGACAATACTATCAGCCTACTTCAAGCTGTTACGACTGTCAGGGTGTCTGGATGGACTTAAGGCAGGGCGGAACAGATGAGTTTCGTAAGTGATCATGTGAACGTTCATGAATGAGTGTCAATCAATAAAGAAGAGAGGGACATGTGCTTTGAAATGCAGGCCACTTCCCATTGCCTTTATTGTACAATTTATCAGTTATTATATGTCGATCACTAAAACGACACATTCCAGAAGCGAAATATACTGTGCCCCACAATCCGATCACATTCTTGGATGCCATCTGCCAGAGACTAAACCACTACCCTCTTTAGCATTTGCAGACAACTGACAGTCGTGCACAATGTCCACATAGTAAATGCAGTGCAAGGAAGTAGGATACAATCAGTATATAACGCGCTTACCAACGGTACACTCTGAGGCTACGAGCTTGTTGTAGGTTCGCTGAAGTTCCTTTTCCAAGAATTCATCCTGAAAGGTCGAATATGCAAGAGCTTTCCCAGCTTGAGCACAAGCCATGAGTTGCAGTAACGCTATAGGAGGAGTTGAAAGTAGAATGCTGAAGATTAGGACAACGAGGTTATTGGTTTGAACACGTTCAATACTTATCTCATTCGCCAAAATGCCGACGGCAGATTTATCAGACGCTCAATGGATCCGTTGACGAACGATCGTCGACCACTAGCGGAACGCACTTGTCCCGCTATGCCTTGGGCATCATTAATTGGGCCCTGAGAGCAGCCGTAGCGGTTACTACTCTTAGGCAGATAGTACTGCCGGAAAAACAATCTGTTCATTTGATTATCAGCAGGTTGACCCGACGGGCGATTTACCTGCCCCCCCCCCCGGGAAAACCATTAACTTATCAAGTGAGACTTTTATTGCAGACCATTGCGGATACCATGAAATGCCCATTAATTAAGCATCCTATCTGTCCATCTGTTAACGCTGCCCCATTTAGTGAGTGTAAAGGTTAGAAACCATGAATGCCAAATTATTAGGAAAAAGCGAACGCATTTTTTAAACCGAAAGCAAAGAGTTTGAAGACGGCGTAATTTGCTACCAAACGGGCACAAAAAAGAATATTTCCCTAACATCTTTCTATAACTATTATTTGAATTTATAAGGGCAAAGGAAATCAAGGCGGAAAATTTATGCTACATAAGGTGTCATTTTGTAAAGTTTATGGTTTCTGCAGGCAATTAAAAAGAAGGCTGTTGAAAAGCAGACTTCCTGACGTGACTGAAAAACCATTGGATTAGTCTCAAACCAGAGAAACGTTCGCATACATGGGCATACATGACTTTTTAAACAGGACCTTTTTCACCATAAATACCATTCAAAGAATGTGGGTTTGGATTGCAGTTTTTAACTTATTTTATGCTTTACATGTTTGCATCCGTAGGAATGGGTTTGACTAGGCCTATATATCGTGCTTATTCACGCAGCCTTTAGTCTATTCTGAAGCTTCGACATATTCGGATGGGGGCGGGGCTTAATCCAGTTCATGCCTGTCTTCAGCACCTACGATTTTGTTTTCGAGTTTTGCTTCGAAGCCCTGAAGGCATTCACATTTTCTTACGCAATTTTAGTAGGCGTAAAGGCATTACATACCTTTGAGGGCTTTGTTGCCCTTGAAAACACCACAGCCCCAGTTGCCACTGACAACGGTGCTCGGTAGGGGTTCGTAAGGAGCCGCCATGTCAGTGAATCCGATGAAAGCCTTAAAGCATAAGACAGAAAATTTGAGCATTTAAAGATTAAATAAGGTTAATCTTGATTCAGAGGCACAGCAAATAGGTCTGAATAGCATGGAAGTTTGATATAGAAAGTAGATCAAGACGAATGGTATTTTGAGTACAGAAAAAAGCCAAACCTTATTTAATTCGCGGCAAAGATAGGTGTCTTGAAATTGTGCTGAGGCATCTTTAAAGTGCGTAGCATCAATCGCTACAATGTATTTTTTCCAACGACCGCGGGCGTCTCTAAAATCGGAGAGAAAATGATACGAACTACGAAATAAATGCTTTTATTACAAAATATCCACAATGCAGAGCAACAACAAAATTCTACTGACCGAGGCGAGCGAAACAATCAGATAATGGATCTGCAGATTTGCACACACCAAATAAATATGCATTTAATACAGGTTGTTTCTGTAAATAATTGAGAACATGCATTTTGAAGGGCCTGCCTAACTGAGTGGAGCAAACAACCTTTCTTCAGCTTAAAATGATGTAACCTTCCGGTTAATCGGTTAGTGATTTCCGCGGCCTCGAGTGTCCTGTTGAATCAGTTCTGCCGGTTTCATACAACTGCCTTAAGTTTATTCATTTTAATGCCATGGAGTACTCATTCTTCAACGAGGCTTCTCTCTAAATCGGAAACCTGCTCAATCTAGAACCAGAGACCTGCATATTTATTGCCATGAGTTTTCTGCATCACCTCAGCAAACTTTAACACAACATTTTTCCACTCCTTGTTGGTTCAAAATCCCAGTCGGGCAGGTGTGTTCACCCGTGATAACATTCAGCCTGCTTCCCGCAATGAAAACAATGGCTTATCAAAAATAAACAGAACTCGACTAGACTGAGTCCCTACATTGCCTACCACACATTGTTGACAGTGGGAGAAGGTGAGTGTTAGGATGACCGAGCACGTCATCCAGACAGACAGACATCCCGAGGCCAGGCCGGAACAAGGCGCGCGAACAGACCAGTCCGGCGCATACAGAACGAG